GAAAAAAGATCGAAAATACTTGATGACACTGAGAAAGGAACAAGACAAACCCAACTTGTGTTGAAGGGAAGGAAATCAACTATGCAAACTTAAGTGATTTTTACATATAATTTGAGTATCCTGTGCCATAAAGTTTTTTTTCAATGGTAACAAGAGAAAGAATTCATATAACAGTGTATTTACACAGAATCCATACTCACAAGTTTGAGTCCATAATATCTCATTTTTTAATCTATTTCAGTGCTAACTCTGTAGCTGACATCTTGATCAAGATAAAATCTTACCTTAAATTTGGAAACTACACCTCTTGTTTGAGCTCTAAAAATCTGCCTTGTATATTTCTACTATGTACATTCACTTTTAAGTCTAGAGGTCTCCCTCACTAGGGTAGATTTAATTTCAGAATAGGCTCCATTTGGAATTTGCCACACTCAAATTGCTTTCTTTTATATGAATATAAACCCACCGGATTGCTTTTTTGAAGAGGTATCCTCAGATGGTACATCACTACCACAGTGTGCACACTGAACACCAACCGTCCAATGGTAACCTCACCACCACAATTGACACACAGAACACCAACCGTCCGATGGTACCTCACACCACAATGATACACACTGAACACCAACCGTCGCGATGGTACCCTCACCACCACAATGATACACACTGAACACCAACCATCCGATGGTAACCTCACCATCACAGAGATGCACACTGAAACACCAGCAGTCCGATGGTACCTCACCCACCACAATGATGCACACTGAACACCACTGTCAAATGGTACCTCACCACCACAATGATGCACACGAACACACAACCATCCGCTGGTACCTCACCACCACACAATAGCACACTGAACCCCAACTTCCCGAGGGTACCCACCACCACAATGATGCACACTGAACCACCAGCTGTCCTGATGTACCTCACTACCACAATGAGCACACTGAACACCAACCATCCAATGGTATCCCTCACCACCACAATGATGCACACTGAACACCAACCATCCAATGGGGCACATGAGTATAAAACTGCACAGCAAACGCACTCACTCTGATGACAGTAGTTTAACTGGCAATTTCCACAGTGAATTCACATAAAGTGAAGGGGAAACTTTGTATTTGAATCACAACTGCCTCTAGCTCTGAGTCCTGTGGCTCATTTTGCACTATTACTGGGTGCATCTGTTTTTGTACCAAAATGGTCATGTTAATAAGAAAAGTATGAAATCATTGAAATAAAAGAACTACCTGACATACATAGATTACACTGCAGATATACACACGAATGTATCATTTAAAGTGAGAAAACATTCCTGGTCAAGCTATGTATTGAACAGGGCACCTGGTGGAAACACATATTTGTTTAGAGTCCCTAGAGGTAAGACAGAGTAGCATTTGTCTCTAATTTGGTGAGCTTGAAAAGGTGGATTCAAATAGACATGCAAGGGTCCATTGTTTTACATAAATAAAAATAAAGTTGATTTCTTTGTAAAGGTTACTATGTGTAATTGCAATTTTTATTTACTAAGCACAAAGATAGCCACTATCATGCCCAGGCATTTTGGGCAAACTAATCTTAATACATAGTAACTAATTAAAACTAGATAAGATAATAGTAACATAGTACCAAATTTACACTAAACAAGGAATAGAGATCTGTTTTACAATCATATTGAACTTAATAAATCTTATTTAAACTTAGTGCAAAATCTAACATACAAGTAATGTGCAGCGTTGTAATCTTTTATGGAATGGCATGAAATAAAACCCAGGAGTCCATATAAGACTGATTAGAAGAAGTTAGGCAATTTGGTTTAATATGAGAAAGAAGATGAATTTTTATGGATTTGGCAGAATTAAGAGCCTAGAGGTCACATAATAAGACTAGTTAGTAGATGTTTGGTTGATTTGGCTAATATTGTGAGATAAGATGATTTTTTAGCAAAGTCCTAAATTTATAAGCTGTCTGGGGATCTTTGAACCTGTTCCGGTAGCGAGTTCCAGATCTTCGGGCCTTTTGATGTGTGGCCACAGAACTTATGAGACCATTTACACATACACTGGTAACTCAGTATACTCCGCTTTGGAAAATCCAACTTGTATACGTCCTTTTGGCAGGAAAAATTTTGCTTGATATGTGGGACCTTTCCTTTGGAATACGACTCGCTACAAGAACTATATGGGTCAAAATGAATCATGACACCGTGTGCTACACTTGTTTTTTACAAAAGCCAGGACTGCCCACATTTAATTCATCTAATATGTTTACACAGCTCTAATAAACATTAAACTTAGGTTTGCATAACTGTAACAACCCGCACTGTAACTGTGAATTTTTACGTGATTTTGTGTTTTGTCGTATAAATTTCTAGTAAATTCATTAACCAAGAGTTTCTAAGAAAGTTAATGAGAAGAACCAAGCAACGAAGGAAATGGTACAGCGGAGGACACTTGTCTCCTGGCAGATCATGAGTCCTGATGTGTGGATGGTGATGTGGAGGAGTTAGTGGAGGAGCACAGGGAAGAACTGAACCACTGAGGAGTTACAGGAACTTGAGAAGGAGGAGCACAAGTCTAAGATGGATGCACTCATCTTCAGATCAGAAGAGAGAAAAAAGGAAGTACCTACTTCATTAATCAGAAAATCTTTGCCAAATGGATGGACGTCAAAACTTTGCAGAAAAGTACCACCCCAACAACCCCAAACAAGCATAATAGCATTTGTCTGGAATGACACACCCCTTAGGAGTTTCCTTGATGCGGTGAGGGGCTCTTGATCTAGGGATTGATCTATGCTCCATTTCCTGAATTGAGCCTGAATACCTTCCAACCCCCACAGTGCGCTGTATAAATCCTACGGGTTTAGCGCTCCCAATGATTATAATACAAATAATACTGGAAAGACCAGTCTATGTCACATTCCAAAACTCCTGAGGAGAGGGCATAAGCAAAGTTCCTTGGACCTGGTCCCAGCTTTCAACCAGGTCGGAAATATGGAAAAGAGAACAGAAAAGAAGGGGACTCTCCTTCCAAACAAATAAACATTTCCTCCTCCCTTCTCACACAACCTGGTAGGCACTCGACTCTTTTCAAGCAAGCAAAGTGAGTTAAATTGGCATTTTATTTCATCTAATTCTTTTGTATTTACCTATTTTTAGTATTAACAGTGTTTAAATTATTTTTTTCAACCCCATCATTGTATAATATTCCAATAACAATAGTTTTTTCATGAACGGATTAATCATTTTCCCTGTACAATGGGAACCTTCGGCTTATGAACACCCCTACCCTGCGAGACTTTTCAGGATACGAACCGCATTTTCGGAGGTCGATTTTTGGCATCTGGATAAGAACGAAATTTGAAAATGAGTACTTCCTCCCTCAAGGGATGTTCCTTAAATAAATAAATAAAATATTTATTTCTCTGCAAAGGTTACAGTGTGTGGTTTTACATATAACATGATTGGAGCGAAAGAAAAGCCACTATCATGCCGAGGCATTTCAGCAATTTAATAGACTACTTAATCTAACAATGTGAAAAGTATGTTTACCAATGTTTTGGCTATGTGGTGCCCAACGACGCAGCCTTTTGAAGTTTTTCACTACTGTTATTATTATTATGTATTATTATTAGTAGAAGTAGTACATACATGGTGGGGGCCTTAATCTATGGAATTGGATCTGTGTTCCAGTTCCCTAAATAAGCGAACAATATAATAATAATACGTATATTATAATAATGTACTGATAATGATAATTTATAATAATAGACGGCTCAAAAGGCTGTCACTAAGATGGCAGTGAATACCACAACAATGCGAGCCAGTTATAGCCGCCTCCACTTGTCACATGTAATGTACATAATTTTATTCTAGAGTATATATCTGGTTTCTATTTATTTAAATTTTTATTTTTGCTGCAATATCTCCAGCCAACTTCACACCCGTGCAACTACGTTGGTCTACTATGCTCGGCAAACAAACTTCAGTCTATTAAACCGAGTATAGGTTACCTGGCCGTCTTCTTATCACCATGTCGAGGTTGGGAGACTACTCTCTCCGTCTTTGCCATTGGCCATACTCGTCTTACTCATGGATATCTCATGAGGAGCGCCCTGCTCCTCTCTGTGAGAATTGCCAAGTTCCATTATCAGTCAGAGGCCAACATTCGTTGGACTGCCCACTGTATCAACGAGCACGCAGAATTTACCCCGTCGTCATCTTCGCTCTGCTGGCTCTCTCTTTACCTTCCCCTTCTCGCTGATGGACCCCACCTTTCATCCAGACTCTCTCATTGACTTTTTGACAACAACCAACTTACTTCACAAATTCTGATACCTTCAGCCCTTTCTACTTCAATCTCTTGCTACCCTCTACCCCCGTACTATCCCCTGCCCCGCTGTTTTCTGTAACCTACTGATCATCCCTCCTCCCTTCTGCCATCCAATACCCTCGCTTCCTTCCCTACCCTGCAGCACTGTATAGCCCTTGTGGCTTAGCGCTTCTTTTTGATTATAATAATAATAATGTATTGTTTATTATGTCATATTAGAGCAATTGTGATAGATAAATAAGCTGTCAAGTTGATATTAGCTCTATATTTAAGTGTATTTTTCCTCCCTCTGAGAGCAGGAAATCCACTGGAAAGGATAAATTGGCGTTTCAGTTATTTTAAATGAAGAAAACATGACATCAGCATAAACAACAAAATCAGATACGAACAAGGCACGGAACGGATTTAAGTTCATAAGCCGAGTTTCCACTGCAATTGAACGTGCCATATATTTTTTGTTTGAAAAAAATTCAAATAGAAAGCAAGAGTAATATCAGAGGGGCCTGGAGACGTGACTGATGAACAAAGAAAACGTTATTTTAGAGCCTGGAAATGTCTGCATTGTTCATTCTGGACCTTATTTTGAATTGTCAATGTTTAGTTTTCGTGAAATTGGCCAAATTGCAAATTTCTGACCACATTATTAGGTAGTTGAAATCAGTAAATGGGCAGTTTCTTGTACTCAATGGATAGAAAAAGTGAAGTTCTAAAGAAATAGCTATGAGTTTGGGCGACTGGAACAACGGAATTAGCCGAAAATAGGGTTCAAAGTGGGCGAAATTGCCGATTTGTAAACAGCGCCGAGGTCGCTAACTTCACGAGAGCATAATTCCGTCAGTTTTCCATCAAATTTCGTTTTTTTGGTGTCATTACAATCGGGAAAAGATTCTCTATCATTTCATAAGAAAAAAATAATTTTTTTTTTTTTTTAAATTTTGCGACACCAGGAGACACCTCAGGATTGGGGGTTGCGACAGTCAAAGGGTTAAAATCTGCAACACTCTACCTGAAAACTCTAGAACTGCAGACACATTCATCACCTTCAAAACTACCATTAGAAAACATAAGTGTCTCAATTCTTCAACTTGTCGGTTTTCTAAACCATTCATCACAACTGCATGTAGTGACTGGTCTTCAGGAATCAAAGAAGTTAATAATAAACACATAACTGATACTACTGTCACTGACAGTAGTGTCAGTGTAGGTTTACTGAGCAGTGGACGTGGAAAGGAATTTAAGCAGAGGTGGCTCATGCGGGGGTTCTGCAGCACCCCCTATTTTCTTTAACTCTTTGATTATATAATGTACAAGTATAAAGAAAGATTTAAAGGAAAAAAAAAAAAGACATATTTAATGTTAGCGATAATACTGAGTGAAAATAGTGGGTGCTGCAGTTCCACAGCACCCTCGTATGAGCCGCCACTGAATTTAAGCCTGACATCTCTGGGTGGACATCTTTTCAGTATAAATGTTACAAACCTCAACTTTTATTCACTATGCACACACACACACACACACATCTTTACTTTCCTTGGTCCAGGTTTAATGCTTAGTTTGACAATATTATTATTACAGGAGGTCCCTGTTTTCATAGCTGTTATGTTCCTGACCCTGACTGATAAGTGATAGTTGTTGGCGAGTGGAAAAGTTTTTTTTTTTCGATATCGAAAGGGTCCGAAATTCCCGATAACATGTTTACACTATAATACAGTGGACCCCCGGTTTACGATATTATTTCATTCCAGAAGTATGTTCAGGTGCCAGTACTGACCAAATTTGTTCCCATAAGGAATATTGTGAAGTAGATTAGTCCATTTCAGACCCCCAAACATACACATACAAACGCACTTACATAAATACACTTACATAATTGGTCGCATTGGGAGCTGATCGTAAACTGGGGGTCCACTGTATATAAAGTGCTCAGTACAGCTTGGCATAAAAAAATCACATACAAAAGTAAAATAAATACAAAATACATATAATACTTAAAACATGACACCGGTAACTCTTCCCTGACACAACTGTTGTGCAAAGAAGCAGAAAAAGCACCAAACAATAACTAAGTTGAAAACTGCTGAAAAAGTGAGAACAGTAAAGAGGGAGCAGAAAACACAGGGCTTTCCTATATTGCTTTCCTTTGTGTTTTGTAATACATAGTTCTTAATCCTGTAATATTTCCTTTCCTACCTAAGAGGCCTGGTCTGTGACCGAGCCCAGGGGGAGCCTAGGAGGCCTGGTCTGTGACCGAGCCCAGGGGGAGCCTAGGAGGCCTGGTCTGTGACCGAGCCCAGGGGGAGCCTAGGAGGCATGGTGTGTGACCGAGCCCAAGGGGAGCCTAGGAGGCCTGGTCTGTGACTGAGCCCAGGGGGAGCCTAGGAGGCCTGATCTGTGACCGAGCCCAGGGGGAGCCTAGGAGGCCTGGTCTGTGACCGAGCCCAGGGGGAGCCTAAGAGGCCTGGTCTGTGACCGAGCCCAGGGGGAGCCTAGGCCTGGTCTGTGACCAAGCCCAGGGGGAGCCTAGGAGGCTTGGTCTGTGACTGAGCTTAGGGGGAGCCTAGAAGGCCTGGTCTGTGACCAAGCCCAGGGGGAGCCTAGAAGGCCTGGTCTGTGACCGAGCCCAGGGGGAGCCTAGGAGGCCTGGTCTGTGACCGAGCCCAGGGGAGCCTAGGAGGCCTGGTCTGTGACCAAGCCCAGGGGGAGCCTAGGAGGCCTGGTCTGTGACTGAGCCCAGGGGGAGCCTAGGAGGCCTGGTCTGTGACCAAGCCCAGGGGGAGCCTAGGAGGCCTGATGTCTGGTCTGTGACTGAGCCCAGGGGGATTATTGTAATCAAAAAGAAGCGCTAAGCCACAAGGGCTATACAGCGAGCCCAGGGGGAGCCTAGGAGGCCTGGTGTCTGGTCTGTGACCGAGCCCAGGGGGAGCCTAGGAGGCCTGGTCTGTGACCGAGCCCAGGGGGAGATAATCCCCATGACCACCATATAATTTCCAACTTTTTTTTATTCAATTTTAGTGAATAATTAATGAGGCTTCCAGGCATTTTTGACATTGAAAGTCATCACAGGACACAACTTTAGATGTAATATTGATGGTAGAGTTACCAACAGTATGTTAGATAAATGGACACAAAGTGCAACTAATGTGACATTTTATTGTGGCAACATTTTGCTCTCCAGGAGCTTTGTCAAACCCATTACAAACAATACATGGACACAGAGAGTATATATAGGTATATTGTGAGGTGCAAAGCATAATATAATCATTGTAGGTGGTGGTAGTAGTTGTACTATTACTACCACAAATACTACTGCTATTACCTACAATGATTGTATTATGCTTTGCACCTCACACTATACCTATATATACTCTGTGTCCTTGTTTGTAATGTCTTAACAAAGTTCCTGCAGAGTGAATTGTTGCTACAATAAAATGTTACATTAGTTGCACTTGTGTCCTTATATCAAACACAACCTTAGACCTGTCCACTACATTATGTGGTTGTCACTTGACTTCATAGGTTACCTGATGCTGTCTCTTACCTCACTGTCATGTCATCACCTTTCTTGCCAGTATGTTGTTCTCAAACCTGTGTTTGTTAGGATCATAGTCCCAGAACTCAAATATTTTCTAGATATTCACATTTGCTCATGTCTCTTTCTCGACCACTTTCCTGCGTCTACTGAAGTTGATGCTAGTGTTGGGCACTTGATGCAAGGAATTGGACTTTTTCCTCTCTTAGATCCTCTCAAGGAAGGTTCCTTGATGCTGGTGAGGGGCTCTTGATCTAGGGAATTGGATCTGTGCTCCAGTTCCCTGAATTGAGCCTGAATACCTTCAGTCCTTCCCCTACATGCGCTGTATAATTCTATGAGTTTAGCGCTCCCCCTTGATTGTAATAATCCTCTCTTGGATTGAATTGGCCTGCCTCTCATTGACCCTTGTGGATTTAGCTCTTAGTTATGATTATAACCAGCGCTGTATAGCCCTTGTGGCTTAGCGCTTCTTTTTGATTATAATAATATAATTGCCTCCCATTTCCCAGGCACACTATGACCTCTGTGGGTTTTGTGCTTCACCCTTGGTAACAGAAAAAGTAAAAGTTAATGAAAATGGCACCAGGCTGCCATCTACTGTAGGGAGAATAAAAATAATTTTTTTTTGCATAATAGATGGCACTAAAAATTTATAAAAATGACACTGATGCCATCTATTGCTGGAATTACATATTAACCCTTAAACTGTCCAAACAGATCCATGTTCACATGTGTAGTGCTCCAAAAGTAGATCTACATATTTTCCAATATAAAAAAAAGTAGATCAAAGTTTTTTTTTACACATTTTCAAATGTAAAAAAAGATCTACTTTTTTTACAGTGAAATGTTGAAAAAAACGTAGATCTACGTTTGGACAGTTTAAGGGTTAAATTAGTTCATTTTTTGCATAATAGATGGTACTATAAGTTAATGAGCTGTATAGCCCTTGTGGCTTAGCGCTTCTTTTTGATTATAATAATATAAGTTAATGATGGCTTAGCGCTTCTTTTTGATTATAAGTTGATGAAAATGGGAAGAGAGTATAAATATTTTTAGTTCATTTTTTTGTGCACTAGATGGCACTGAAGATGAGAAGGGCACTTGGATGCCATCTATTGTTGGAATTATGAACTAAATCTTTAGTTCATTTTTTGCATAATGGCACTAAGTTAATGAAAATGGGAAGATAAATTAGGAGAAACTGAACTAAATATTTTTTAGTTCACTTTTTGCTCAATAGATGACAAAAAAAAAATTGAAAATGGGAGCATTAATTAGGGGAGTAAACAAAATATTTTTAGTTCATAATTCTCTCACTAGATGGCATCCAAGTGCCATTTTCATTAGTAATTTTCAGCGCCATCTATTATACAAAAAATGAACTAAAAATTTAGTTCATAATTCTCACAATAGATGGCGTCAAAGTGCCATTCCTATTATTAATTTTCAGCGCCATCTGTTGAGCAAAAAATGAACTAAAAATATTTAGTTTAGTCTTCCCTAGTTTATCATCCCATTTTCTAATTTTTTTTTCGCCATCTATTGAGCAAAAAGTGAACTAAAAAAAATTTAGTTTAGTCTTCCCTAGTTTATCATCCCATTTTCTAATTTTTTTTTCGCCATCTATTGAGCAAAAAGTGAACTAAAAAAAATTTAGTTTAGTCTCCCCTAGTTTATCATCCCATTTTCTATTTTTTTTTTTTTCGCCATCTATTGAGCAAAAAGTGAACTAAAAAAAAATTTAGTTTAGTCTCTAGTTTATCTTCCCATTTTCAATAACTTACAGCACCATCTATTAATCAAAAACTGAACTAGATTTAGTAAACAATTCCAACAATAGATGGCATCCAAGTGCTATTTTCATTAGTAATTTTTTTTTCGCCATCTATTGAGCAAAAAGTGAACTAAAAAAAATTAGTTTAGTCTTCCCTAGTTTATCATCCCATTTTCTAATTTTTTTTTCGCCATCTATTGAGCAAAAAGTGAACTAAAAAAAATTAGTTTAGTCTTCCCTAGTTTATCATCCCATTTTCTATTTTTTTTTCGCCATCTATTGAGCAAAAAGTGAACTAAAAAAAATTTAATTTAGTCTCTAGTTTATCTTCCCATTTTCAATAACTTACAGCGCCATCTATTAATCAAAAACTGAACTAGATTTAGTAAACAATTCCAACAATAGATGGCATCCAAGTGCTATTTTCATTAGTAATTTTTAGTGCCATCTATTGTGCAAAATAATTAACTAATTTAATTTAATCTCTCTTCAATAGATGGCAGCCTAGTGCCATTTTTCATTAACTTTTAGTTCCATTAGCAAAACCAAGTGCTAAACCCACCTGGGTCACACAGGGCTGTCTCCCTGCACTAGATGGCACCCCTAATGCAGTGTAGTGACTTAATGACTCCAAGCACTATTTTCCTTATACAAAGTGCAATGTTATAGGTGCCATCTGTAGTACTATTATAATCAAGGGAAAGCGCTAAACCTGTATTATTATTATAATCAAAAAGAAGCGCTAAGCCACAAGGGCTATACAGGCTAAACCTGTAGGTCTATACAGCGCCTGTGGGGGATGTGGAAGGTATTCAGGCTTAATTCAGGGAACTAGAGGTCAAATCCAATTCCCTAGATCAAAAAGCCCCTCACCAGCATCAAGGAACCTTCTTTGAGGGGATCTGTAGTTGTAGACACACAGACAGTAACTAACTTTATTAAGACAATAATCTTGTATCAGAATTTGTGATGGATCATATCTGGTATACCTGGAGTGTGTTCTGGGGGTCAACGCCCCCATGACCCGGTCTGTGACCAGGCCTCATGGTGGATCGGGCCTGATCAACCAGGCTGCTACTGCTGGCTACACGCAATCCAACGTACGAACCACAGCCCGGCTGGTCAGGTACTGACTTTAGGTGCCTGTCCAGTGCCTGCTTGAAGACAGCCAGGGGTCTATTGGCAATCCCCCTGATGTATGCTGGGATGTAGTTGAACAGTCTTGGGCCCCTGACACTTACTGTGTTTTCTCTTATAGTGCTAGTGATACCCCTGCTTGTCATTGGGGGATGTTGCACTGTCTGCCGAGTCTATTGCCTTCATAGGGAGTGATTTTCATGTGCAAGTTTGGTACTAGTCCCTCTAGGATTTTCCAGGTGTATATAATCATGTATCTCTCCCTCCTACATTCTAGGGAGTACAGGTTTAGGAACTTCAAGTGTTCCCACAGTTTATAGGCTCGTGCCCACAGTTTATAGGCTGGAGAAACGTGTAAATATTAGAGAAGTATGGCAGTAGGCCTACTGGCCCATGCTAGGGTAAATCTTGAGGCACATTAACATGTTAGGTAGTGATGGTAGTAGATAATGGTGGTAATGGTAGTTACTGGTAGTGTATGTGTTTCAATATTTATATTACGTATTTGTATTGTGCAGTGAAGAGTTTTTACGAGGATAGTGAGGCTCAGGTTAGAGTATGTAGGAAAGATGGAGATTAGGAAAGGTTGGAGGGAGAGGGTAAACGAGGTTTTGCATGCGAGGGGCTTGGATGTCCAGCAAGCATGCATGAGTGTGTTAGGAGCAAATGGTTTTTAAGACTTGACATGCTGTTGGAGTGTAAGCAAGGTAACAATTATGAAGGGATTCAGGGAAACCAACAAGCTGGACTTGATTCCTGGAGATGGGAAGTGCACTCTGTAGAGTTTTATAACTGTAGTGTAAGCACGCCTCTGGCAAGACAGTGATGGAGTGAATGATTATGAAAGTTTTTCTTTTTTGGGCTGCCCTACCTTGGTGAGAGACAGCCAGTGTGTTAATAAAAAATTATGGGGGGAGCACTAAACCTGTAGGGATTGTACAGCACCTGAAGGGAAGCTAGGGTAGAAGTACAGATCAAATTATTATAATCAAAAAGAATGTACAGATCAAAGCCCCTCACCAGCATCAAGATGCTTCAATATCCGTATTAAAGTTTTTTCCAGTTGTAAGTAGTCTTGGTTCTTTGTGCTTGTCTTATGTCTATATATATATATTTCTGTATTTTTTTCAACCCTTATTAACACTTGATTATAATTTTCCATTTTTATTATCAATTTTGAGTTAAGAAATTTCATTGCATGGTTGTGGTAATTCTTGTGTTGGACAAACATTGGTTTAAGATGCATATTTATGCTCAATAATGCATTTACTTTAGTTTCTTGCAGTTTCTTCCAGATATATCTTTTTGAACTTTAGTGTTGTCATGTCTCAGGCAAGACAGTGATGGAATGAAAGTATTTCTTCTATTTTCAGGCGACATGGCCTCGGTGGGAAGTGGCCAATGTGTTAAATAAAAACTAATATCTCTTCACATCCACCACATGGAACTTTGTGAAAAATCTTGTATTGTTAGTGTTTGTCTCAACATCACAAATAATACAAGATGACAAGCACAATTGCTTATTGGCTCGGGTACAAAAAATTGTGATCTTAGAGGTGATGTTACATGTAGGGATAATTATATATTGCTCTAAGATAGAGATAAATAGTATAAAACACCAACATGATGGAGAAATAGAAATGCAGAGTAATGCGATCCTTTATCAACTCTGTTTCACCCACACAGTGGACTCTATCAAGTCACAAACACATCTTGATAAAGCCAGTGTCACAAACACATCTTGATAAAGCCAAAGTCACAAACACATTCTGATAAAGCCACAGTGTCACAAACACATCTTGATAAAGCCGGTGTCACAAATACATCTTGATAAAGCCAGTGTCACAAATACATCTTGATAAAGCCACAGTGTCACAAACACATCTTGATAAAGCCAGTGTCACAAACACATCTTGATAAAGCCACAGTGTCACAAACACATCTTGATAAAGCCACAGTGTCACAAACACATCTTGATAAAGCCAATGTCACAAACACATCTTGATAAAGCCAGTGTCACAAACACATCTTGATAAAACCAAAGTCACAAACACATTTTGATAAAGCCAGTGTCACAAACACATCTTGATAAAGCCACAGTGTCACAAACACATCTTGATAAAGCCACAGTGTCACAAACACATCTTGATAAAGCCACAGTGTCAAAATCACATCTTGATAAAGCCACTGTGTCACAAACCCATCTTGATAAAGCCAGTGTGTGTGTTAAACATAGTCAATAAAGGATCACATTATACTTTATTTGTGTCTATTTTTCTATATATTACTTTACTTTGTCCTTTGGATGTATAGAAGTTTGTCATGGGATTCTCTCTGCAGTTTGTGATGATGATTATTGTAGTTTTATAATAAATGTTTTGGGTGTTGCAATCTTCCTGACATATCAACACTACTGTTATATACACACCTCATAATTAATATAATACTGATATTAAAATCTCTGGGCCCACTAGATCCACACTTACCAAAATAAAGTACAGTGGTACCTCGGGATACAAACATTATACAGTGGTACCTTGGGATACAAACATTATACAGTGGTACCTCGGGATACAAACATTATACAGTGGTACCTCGGGATACAAACATTATACAGTGGTACCTCGGGATACAAACAGCTCAAAACTCGAACAATTATGCAAGTGCTTTTGTAAGTGTATTTTTGGGGGTCTAATTTACATTATTTCTCATGAGAACAAATTTGTTCGGTATCGGCACTCGAACAGCCTTCTGGAATTAATTTTGTATCCCAAGGTTCCACTGTACTGTACTATATTGTACATGTCTATACCATTACTATGACTTGTAAATGATAAATGTATAGGTAATCCTGGCTTTATACATCATTGTTCCATGCCTAAGACCACACTGCTGTGCCATCATCTAAGCATATGAAAAGAATTTTTCCTCTGAAAGTCATGCGTGCCATAAGAGGCTACTAAAATGCCAGTAGCATTATAATAAAAAAGAAGCACTAAACCACAAGGGCTATACAGTGCTGCAGGGCAGGAAGGAAGCGAGGGTATCAAGTGGCAAAAGGGAGATGGACGAGTAATAGGTTACGGAGAACAGCGGGGCAGTGGATGGTGAAAGGGTAGAAGGCAGCAAGAGATTGAGGTAGAAAGGGCTGAGGGGAGTGCAAAAGGTATCATTATCAGAGTTTGTGGAGTAAATCAGTCCATTGTCAAGAAGTCAATGAGAGAGTCAGGATTAAAGGAGGGTCCATCAGCAAGAAGGGAAGGTAAAGAGAGAGTAGTAGAGCGGAGACGACGTTGGAGGTAAATTCTGCGTGCTCGCTGATAGAGAGGGCAGTCTAACAGAATGTGGCTAATCGATACTGGAACTTGACACTGCTCACAGAGAAGAACAGGGTGCCTCTCCATGAGATATCCATGAGTAAGACGAGTGTGGCCAACGCGAAGGCGGGAGAAAGTAGTCTCCCAACCTCGACGCTGATGACAAGAAGATGGCCAGTAACCTATGCTCGGTTTAATAGACTGAAGTTTGTTACTAAGCAGAGTTAACCAACGTTGTTGCCAATGGGTGTGAAGGTGGGTAGCTATTACAGCAAAATAGTCCGGAAATGGAACACCTCTATATGAAATTGGTAGGTCATGTACTGCTGGCTGCACAGCAGTGTCTGCCTGTTCATTACCCTGTACATCAACATGACCAGGGACCCAACAAAAAACAATATCTTTATGCTTGGTAGAGATACGGCATAGCCAAAGTTGGATATGGAGAACTAGGGGGTGAGGTGTATCAAATTTCCGTATAGCCTGTAGAGCACTAAGGGAGTCTGAAACAACCACAAATGATGACACAGGCATAGATGCAATGTGAATAAGTGCTGCAAGAATGGCATACAATTCGGCAGTAAAA